CCGTCTCGGCCTCCCAAAGTGCTGGGATTACAGGCTTGAGCCACCGCGCCCGGCCTGCACCATCTTACTGATGGGAACGCATAGGCTTTAGGAGGTGAAGTGTGTCACCCAAAAGACAGCCTTCATGGCAGAGCCGGCATCTGCACCCAGAGTCTGAACTCTGCAGTACATCCCATTGCCAGAGGACAGAGGGGAGGAGCAGAGGAGTAACTGGACAGAGTGGGGTTCATATCCTGCTTCCCGGGAGACCCCCATGTGTTGCATGACCTCAGGAAAGTTTGTTCACCTCATTGTCCTCATCTGTGTAGTGGGCAGAGCCAAACGATGCCCGGTGCGGCTTGGATGAGATGAGGGGTGTGGGGCTCCTGGCATGATGCCAGACATGGCAGTGCTCGCTCGGCCAGCGATTAGGGCTCGGGTGAACAGATGCCAGCCGGCTGGGCTCTCCACCCCTCACCTCTGCGGTACTGCCTGCTCCAGGTGCCGCCATGCTGCCATTGCCAAGTACTTCGGGGATGCGCCGCCTGCCTGTGCCAAAGGCTGCGACCACTGCCAGAACCCCATGGCCGTGCGGAGGCAGCTGGAGGCCTTGGAGCGCAGCAGCAGTTGGAGCAAGACCTGCATCGGGCCCTCCCAGGGGAATGGCTTTGACCCCGAGCTGTATGAGGGAGGCCGCAAGGGCTACGGGGGCTTCAGCAGGTAAGGGGCCAAGAAGCCAGGGACTCTAACCCACTGGAATCGTCCGGCATTCCCTTGGCGCTAAGGCCAGACCAGAGGTACTACGATGCTGCAGTCCCCCCTTGAGCTGGTAGGACATCAGGGACATTGCCATCCTAGCAGCAGCACACATGGGGAGGGCAGAGTCCAGGCCAGGGCCACTCATGCCTGGCCTGTCCCTAGGTACGACGAAGGTTCTGGAGGCAGCGGGGATGAAGGCAGAGATGAGGCCCACAAGCGGGAATGGAACCTCTTCTATCAGAAGCAGATGCAGCTGCGCAAGGTGAGGGGAGGCGCTCGGTGGCCTGTGCGGGGCCCCTGGTGGCCCCCTGCTCGCACCTCTCAGCCCCTTCTCTGGTGCTGGATGGGACTGTCCTGTGGCAGGGCAGGACGCCTCATGGACCCTTCATGTTGTCCTCCAGGGCAAAGACCCCAAGATAGAAGAATTTGTACCCCCAGGTCAGTACAAAAATATTCCTAGAGGCTTGCGGGCTCTTCCCGGGGCATGGAGGGAGGATTCTCATCTGGGGCATGGGGGACCTCAGAGTGCAGAAGGTGGAATGAAAAGACCAAGGACCTCCCCCCCCCAACAGATGAGAACTGTCCCCTGAAAGAGGCTTGTAGCAGGAGGATCCCCAGGCTGACTGTGAAGGTAAGAGACGGGCAGCTCCTCAGACACCCCCCAGGGCCGTCCCTCAGCCTCGAGGCCGTGTGACCAATCTTACTCTCCTGTGCCAGGCACGGGAACACTGCCTGGGGCTTCTGGAGGAGGCGCTGAGCAGTAACCGCCAGTCCACATGTACCACTGATGAGTGAGTTCCACAGTCACTGGGCAGAGGAGCCCTCCAAGCTCTCGTTCCCTTGGAGACTGCAGGACCCTATCAACCCTGGCCTGTTTGGGCCACCTCTCCCCAGATTGTACCTCTCCTACTCCAGGGGACTGCCCCTAAACCCCACCAGGGCCAGACATGGCTGCAACTTAGGTGCTGCCAGCAGCTGCTGAGGGACAGTAAACCACAGGGTGCCCAGAGAGTCCTAGTCAGAATCCCTGTGCCCAAGGCCTACCCCACCAGGCCTCGAGTCCCACAGGAGCTTGGCAGGGAGAAGCCCAGGCCCACCTGATACCTTGTGCCGGTTACCTTGCACCCACAGAGCTGACCTCCGGGCCAAGGCCGTGGAGCTGGAACATGAGACATTCCGGAATGCTAAGGTGGCCAACCTGTACAAGGCCAGCGTGCTGAAGAAGGTGGGCCTGGTGCAGGCGGACGAAGGGTCGTTGCAGGGGCCTCTCCATGCTCTGAGGCAGAAGCTGTCTGCCAGCTCTCCGGGCACGGGCACCCCAGAACCCACCCTCCCCAGCCCACCCCAGAGACAGTTTATGGGGGTAGAGCTCCATTCTCCATTAGCCGGAGGTGTTTTTAGCCAACCCTGTGAGGATGGGAGGCCTAAAACTTGCCCAGTAGTTAGTTGTCTGCAGCCCCTGGCCACAGAAACCCACTTCTAGTGCCTAGTGGAAAAGGAGGGCTGGGTGGGGCATGTCAGGAGGAGCTGGCGGGTGCCACAGCCTCCCTGCCCATCCCTGCCCAGGTGGCTGATATCCACAGAGCCTCCAAGGATGGGCAGCCCTATGACGTGGGAGGCAGTGCCAACAGCTGCAGTGCCCAAGCTGCGCCCCCCGAGCCCAATGAGTATGACATCCCACCGGCCTCCCATGTGTACTCGGTGAGCTGTGGCCCAGTGGCCTCCAGACCTGTGACCAGGAAAGGCTCCACTTCCCCTCTGCCCTCAGGGGTGCACCTCTTGCCATGGCCTGGCTCCCTACCAGGGTCCTGCCTGCCTCTTCCCTCCCACACTCCTGAGAGCCCCGGCCCAATGTGAGCGACTGGTCCAGCCAGCGGAGCCCTCGACGGGGCCTGGTGGGCTGAACCTCCTCTCCTCCTGCTCACATTTACAGCTCAAACCCAAGCGGGTAGGAGCTGGTTTCCCCAAAGGCTCCCGCCCATTCCAGACGGCCACGGAACTGATGGAGACGACTCGGATCAGGGAGAAAGCCCCTCAGCCCAAGCGGGGAGGCGAGCATGAGCCCCCGAGCCGGCCCTGTGGCCTCTTGGATGAGGACAGGAGTGAGCCCCTCCCTGGGCCCAGAGGGGAGGTCCCTGGAGGCAGCGCTCACTGTGGAGGGCCCTCCCCTGAGAAGAAGGCAAAAAGTTCCTCTGGGGGCAGTTCCCTTGCCAAGGGCCGGGCTAGCAAGAAACAGCAGCTCCTAGCCGCAGCGGCCCACAAGGATTCTCAGAGCATCGCCCGCTTCTTCTGCCGAAGGGAGGAAAGCCCAGCTCTGCTGGCCTCAGCCCCAGAGGCAGAAGGTGCCTGCCCCTCCTGTGAGGGGGTTCAGGGACCGCTGATGGCCCCAGAGAAATACACAGGGGAGGAAGATGGAGCCGGGGGACATTCGCCTGCCCCTCCCCAGACTGAAGAGTGCCTCAGGGAGAGGCCAAGGTAAGGGTAGAGGTAGTCATAGAATCTTCTGGAATCCACATGGCAGCATCCCCTTTGCTCCCTGGGCGTCTGAAGCTCAGAGCTCATCCCTAAGATGGGCTCTCCTAGGCCTCCTAGGATGAGGGAGCCGCTAGGACCCAGAGCTGTGATGCCTGCTCTTCCCTCCACCAGCACCTGCCTGCCCAGAGATCAGGGCACCCCTGAAGTCCAGCCCACCCCTGCAAAGGACACATGGAAGGGCAAGCGGCCTCCATCCCAGCAGGTGCCGGCAGGGATGAGGCCGTTGGGAAGGAGAGAAGGGCTGTGGGCGAGGCCAGGAGCTGTTGTGCCCTGGTCAAGGGGTCAGGGAAAATCAGCGCTTCTTTCCACACCCGGCGGCAGATGGGCTGGGCTGGTATGGGGGCGGCTGGTGTGGGGGCCTAGTCTTTGGAGGAGGGGAGCAGGTCAGTGGAAGGGAACTCAGGAGTGACCCTCTGCTGTGGCCCTTCTCAGGAGAACCCAGAGAGCCAGCCTCAGAAGAGACTGCGCCCCTCAGCCAAGCCCTCCGTCTTAGCCGAGGTCAAGGGCAGCGTCTTGGCCAGCGATCAGGGCACCTTGAATCCCACAGCTCAAGACCCCTGTCAGCTCTCAGCTCCTGGCATCTCCTTGAAGGAGGCTGCAAATGTTGTGGTCAAGTGCCTGACCCCTTTCTACAAGGAGGGCAAGTTTGCTTCCAAGGTAGGGGGAGTGGATGGGCTCTGCCTTCTCCCAGGCCTGGGGTATGTGGGTGTCGTGGGGGCGCGAGGCAGGGAGTGTGAGCCCCAGAACACGGTGGGCCAGAGCAGGCTGGGCCAGGGCCAGTCCCGCACCCGTCCTCCCTGGGGCCTGCCTTGCCGTCGGGTCGTGGCTGTGGGTCGCTCTGGGGGTCAGGGCAGGGTCCTGCTCTCTGCTTCTCTTCTGCGTCTCCCTTCCAGGAGGTGTTTAAAGGCTTCGCCCGCCACCTCTCACACTTGCTGACTCAGAAGACCTCTCCTGGAAGGAGCGGTGAGCGCTGCCATTGCCAGGGCCAGGAGGCAGTTGGGAGGGTGGTCTACAGGGAGGAGGCTGACAACTCGCGTCATGCTCCCACCCTGAATCTGTAGTGAAAGAAGAGGCCCAGAACCTCATCAGGCACTTCTTCCATGGCCGGGCTCGGTGTGAGAGTGAAGCTGACTGGCACGGCCTGTGTGACCCCCAGAGATGACCAGCTGGTGGCTGGGCAAGGCCCGCGTCCTCCACCAGATTCTAGCATGGGCCAGCCTGGGCCTCGCCTGCTTTTCTGAGTCCTTCTCCCTTCCAACCATACTTGGCTTTGGGGATGATCCCAGACACCCCCTGAATCCAGGTCAGAGGTCAGCCCACCTTTCTTTCTGCTTGCAAAGCCTATAGACCCTTCTCAGAGCCTCCCTGCCTCTCCTGGCCCTCATGGCTGGGTTTTCTAGGACACATGTCCGGGACAGAAGGTGGAGGGTGGTGGAGCTGCTGCCAGAAGAAGGTGAAGGAAGAGTGGCCCCTCCCCGAGTTTTAAGTCAGGACAAGGCCCACCTGTCCAAGGTATTGGGACCTATTCAGGGGAACCTCAGGTCCTCCACCCACTCCCCATCCATTACAATGCCAGCTTCCAGCCTTGCCCAGGTCAGAGCTGTGGCAGAGGAAAGGCAGCCAGGCCCCGTTTCTGCTCGGCTCTTGCTCAGGAAGGCCAGGCCGGACGAGGTGTTTGGGAGGGGAATAAAGTCGTGTGGTGGCGCATGCACTCGTGCACACAGCCCTTTTCTCCGGGGAGTTTTATTTCCTCAGCAGCTGTTTCTCCCATGCCTGGGATTGTGCTAATGTGGGGCCTGGGCGGAGCCTGGGGCCGGTGGGCGTCTCCCTCAGACTGGGCAACCTCAGATTCCCCAGGCGAGTTCCTGCAGCCCTCTTTGGGCCCAGGCCGTCCTGGAGGGGCTCTGGCTGTTTTCTTTGCCTGTTGGTGACATGATAGCAGCCCCTGCCTCATGGCCTGCATGTGGGCCGGCTGGGCTGTGCTGTGGCAGGTTCTGGAACAGTGATCTGATAGCATCCAAGGCAGACCATCTGGGTGAGACTTGGGCCAGGGGAGGCCTCACCCTCGTCTCTCCCTGGCCTACACTCCTCTCAGTTGACGCTGGGCCACTCAGTGCAAGAGGCACTGCTGTCTATCAGGAAGACAGTGGTGTATAGCAGCTCCTGGGCCTGCCCAGAGAAAGGCCTGTTACAAGAGGGCTCCCCAACCAGCCTCTCGCCTCTGCCCCGGCCCACAGCACTCCGGAGCAGTGGGCATCGGCCTGGGCCTGGGCTCCCACTGCATGCCATGCTGGGGCGAGGCCCTCACATCCACCTTTCCAAGGTGGCCAGAGGCCTGGCCACTCACCTGTGGCAGCTCAAACCAGATGGTCTGGGGGTTGTCAGCTGAGCCATAGTTGAGTTCCAGGCCAGGGGGCCCCTTCTCCTCCAGTGGGCTTAGCAGGTGGAGCCGCTGCAGGCTCTTCAGGGCAATGCGACAGTACAGATTCTGGGGGCAGCAGAGAGCAGGGCTGGTCTCGTCTCCAGGGAGGGGTCACTGTGGGTGATGGAATGGCCCAAGGGTCCCTCGGCCAGAGCTGGGGCAAGAGCCCTGCCCACCTGGGAGCTGGGGTCCATGAGGATGAGATGCTGGCGGTTGAGCCCCAGGAGAGCGGGTCCCGACAGGGCCTGCATGCTCACTCTCAGTGCTACGTAGACGGTATAGCCGAAGAGGGGCAGCTGGCTCACGGCCTCTGCGGGTGGAGAGGGTGCAGGCAGGAATTCTGACTGCTAGGACCCTGGAACCTGCGCTGCTTGGCCCCTCAGGTCAGCTGAGAGGGACAGGGCAGGTGCAGACCCCTCCTCGCCCCTCTACCTGCATTCCTTCCCTCTTGGCCTCCAGCCCCCACCCCAGCGGTCCCAGCCCCAGACCCACCAATGAAGCTGATCTGTGCTTCCTGGGGGCTGTGTCCTCCCAGCTGTCTCAGCTCCTGACCCATCAGGTTCTTGATGGAGGCCATGTTCACCTGCCGTTGCAGCTGCTGTGGCACATAAGCTAGCAGGTCCTGCCTAGGATGCGGGGCCGGGGTCAGTTTGGCCCCTGACCACCTGGTACAGGGCTGGGCATACAGCATGTGCCAAATAACTGAACCAGTGCCTATTGTGGGCAAGACTAGGGATCCATACACATAAATGAGGTGAGGGCCCTGAACCAGAGGAGCTCACGGTGGGGTGAAGAGGACAGATGTCCACCAGGCCCCGCTGCTCTGGGCCAGTCCAGTTAGGGCCAGGAAGGGTACCAGTCAAATGGCCTTGACCTTGGAGAAGGAGAGGGGCTTAGGGGCGGGAGGTGCCCCCACTCACTCTGAGGGAGTGTTCCCGTTGGCCTTGCTGAGGTGCTGCAGGGCGGCCAGCCTGGCGAGCTGCGCGTCCGCCTTGGCGCTGACCGGCAGCTTCCCCTGGAGGTAGTCCCGCAGCACCTGTGCGGGGAGCATGGTGAGGAGAGCAGAGGTGGCCCAAAGCCCCCATCAGTTGGTGGCTCTAGGGGCTCAAGCCTAGTTTTGCCACCGTCACCCCCCAGCCACCACAGACCCACACCCTTGTGGGGAGGGGGGCTTGGAAGTCGCCTAGGCAGGAAGCCGCGCCCTCAAACTGCAGCAGCGGCTCGGAGGCAGGCAGGCTGACCTGGCTGTAGTGGGTGCTGATGTAGATGGAGTTATCGAAGTGCAGTGGGGTCTCCCAGCCGAGCCGCCGGCTGTGCAGGCTCACGTCCTGGTCCACTGCCACGCTGTTGAGGTATTCAGCAGGCCGCAGGGGCCGCACCAGCTTGCCTGCATGGGGACCCTAGGTCCACCGCTGCTCAGACCACGCACACCCCACCCTGCCACCCCAGCAGAAACCAAACCACCTCACCCCCGGGCGGGGGAGGGGCCCCACAATGAGGCTCCGTCCCCAAGCTCACCCTTCTCTTTGATGAGGAAGAGGGTGAATTCCTGCACTTCCTGAGGCTCTGTGATGCCCATTTGCTGGCACAGCTCCTCCTGCACTTCTGCTGCCACCTGGGCATGTGGACAGGCTGTGATGAGGGGGAGGGACGCTGGAGGGCCCAGAACTGATGCCCAAGGCCGCCTCCCTTGGTGGCCCCCAAGCTCACCGTGAAAGTATGGATATTCGTCCTATAATCCACACCTCCTGGCAGGTGAATAAGAAGCAGGCGAGTGGCTTGTCCTTTCTGCCAAGGCAGGTTGCAGGGTCAGTCAGCCAGTGGTCAGTCGGCCAGTGGTCTCCTGTGGGGGACACCCCCCTACCCCAGGGTGTCCCACAATGCCCATCCGCCACCCCCAGTACCAGGAAAGCCTTCATTTCACCCGGTGGGAGCATCCACCGGCGCCCCCCATATTTGACTGTGCGCTGGAGGTGCTCCTGGCTGCTCCGGGCCAGCTCTGCAGAGGAGCCAGGCTGGGGTTATGAGGTGGCCAGGTCTCCCCAAGCCCTCCAAGTTCCCAGTCCTAGAAACCCCTGCCCCCCCTCCATCTCCCCCTCCCACAGGCACCTTGGCTGGGGCCTGAATCCTGCAGGAACTTGGTCAGGTAGGGCATCAGCCTGGTCGACGGAGAGAAGCAGCCTGTGAGAAGGTTGAGGAAGCTCCAGCCTCGAGTGCAGTGTTCCCTGCAGGGCAGAGAGCTCGGGCTTCAGGCTGGCCAGGCCACAGTGCCCAGCTGCCCCCAGAAGCCTCTCCACCCCACCGGTCCCCACTCACGGCCGGGGGTGTCCCGTGACCTGCTTGATAACCTGGCAGTAAATCTCATCCCTCAGCTTCTCCTCCTGGCACATCTGCGGGGATAGGAAGGGCAGGTGGGGTGAGGGATGGGAGTGGTGAGCCTGGGGTCTGAAGCTCTGGAGAAATCCTGCTAGGCCGTGGGCGGGGGCTGGGTCAAGATGTCTGCCTCAGCTTAAGAGCATCACTGCACTGGCTACTCAGTCACTTTCTTCGCTGCTTCCCTGTCTCCCTCTGCCACGCAGGCTGGAACGCGATGGCGTGATCTCAGCTCACTGCAATCTGTTTCCCAGGTTCAAGCAATTCCCCTGCCTCAGCCTCCCGAGTACTATAGGCGTGCCACCACACCTGGCTAATTTTTGTATTTTTAGCAGAGATGGGGTTTCACTATGTTGGCCAGGTTTAATCTCTGACTTCAGATGATCCGCCCATCTTGGCCTCCAAAGTGCTGGGGTTACAGATGTGGGCCTCCGTGCCCGGTCTTTTCATATATTTATTTTATTTTTTGAGACAATCTTGCTCTGTCGCCCAGGCTGGAGTACAGTGGTGCCATCTCGGCTCACTGCAATCTCCACCCTCCTGGGTTCAAGCGATTCTCCTGCCTCAACCTTCTGAGTACTACAGGAGTGCTCCACCACGCCCAGCTAATTTTTGTGTTTTTAGTAGAGATGGGGTTTCACCATGTTGGCCAGGTTGGTCTAGAACTACCTCAGGTGATGCACCCACCTCGGCCTCCCAGAGTGCTGGGATTACAGGCGTGAGCCACATGTCTGGCCCCTGCTTCTCTGATCTCTTAGTCATCTCTGCTGGCTTCACCTTAACTCCTTGACCTCTGAGCGGTGCCATGCCCTTGAACCTCTCTCTGTCTGCCCCTCTCCCTGTGGCCTCAGCTGCTCCCATCTGATGAGGTGCCTGCCTCCAGCCTTCTCCCTTGAACCCCAGACTCCTCCACTGGGAAGTCTGGGATTTCAGACCTCACGTGTTCAAAACAGATTCCTCCACCAGCCAAGACCTGCTCCTTGAAGACAGTAGTTGTCCTCCTTCCCGTAGCCCACATGCGATTGGTCAGCACACTCTGCTGGCTCTGAATCTTCTGCTTCTCCCTTGCTGCCAGCACCATGCCTCACCTGGGACCACTGAGATAACTTCCTTTTGCTTTTAAACTTAGACCCCCAGAATCCCAAACAACAGCCGAGTGACTGTGAAATGTAAGCCGAGTCTCTCTCCAGAATCCTCTTGGTGGTTTCCCATCTTTCCAAAAATCAGAAACCAATGATGGCTACAAGGCCTGTGGTGGCCTGGACCCACCGTCTGCTCCCCGTCCTCATCCTCTGTTCTCCGTGCTGCTCACTAGGCTCAGCCACACTGGCCTTGCTGGTGTGTGATGATGCCGAGGCTTCCCACCACATCTGAACTGTTGCCTGCCCTTCTGTGTCACCCTGTGCTCACTCCTTCCCTCCCTGTAGGAAGGCTGCCACAAAGCCTCCACTGCAGCAGCCCCTTCCCTGCATTCTTTTTTTTTTTTTTTGAGTCTCGCTCTGTCGCCCAGGCTGGAGTGCAGTGGCCGGATCTCAGCTCACTGCAAGCTCCGCCTCCCGGGTT